GTGGCTGTCTGGCTTCTTTAACCCCCAGTCCTTCCTTACAGCTATTGAGCAGTCTATGGCGCGAAAGAACGAATGGCCTTTAGACAAAATGGCCTTACAGGTTAATTATTGTTATTGTTATTTTATTTATTTTAGTAGACTAACTTGAGAATGTAGCCATTTTCTGTTAGTGACTCGTACATTATAACCTATCGCGTGATCTAGGGAGTTTTAGCAGCGACGTCTTTGAGCGACGTACGTCAATCGGAAGTCAGCGTTTCTCTCTTTAAATATGCCTAATGTGTATTGGTAAGTCTCTTTTCTTTTATGAGGACGACTTCCCCAGGAATTTGTTCTGAATCACGGCCGAAGAGTTCAAAAAGTCCACTTCCGATTGACATGCGTCTCTCAAAAACGTCGTTGCTTAAGCTCCGTGTAAGACGCTCTGTTTGTGCCGTTGCCGGAACTCCCTTTCGTTCTAGCAAATGTAATCGCTCAATTCATGGAGGAAGGTTAAAGGCACCACTTTGCCTTTGAAGATCCCAAGGCCAAGTGTTTCAAAATCTGGTTAATTCCAGCTCTGCATTTACTGTAAACACAACATTTGAATTGTATTGTAACTACGCCCTAGATTTGTTCTTAGCTTAATTCATTCGAACAACTAAACCATGCCAACAAATGTCTTGTCAAGATCCTGACATAGTCTATATCAACAGGTGGACGTAACAAAGAAAAACAAAGAAGACTTCAACAGTCCGCCAAGGGAAGGAGCCTACGTGCATGGTCTGTTCATGGAAGGAGCTCGCTGGGACACGCAGACCGGCATGATCGCTGAATCAAGACTAAAAGAACTCACACCAGGCATGCCGGTCATGTTTATAAGAGCAATCCCAGTGGACAAACAAGAAACCAAGAACGTGTACGAGTGTCCAGTATACAAGACAAGGCAGCGCGGTCCAACCTATGTCTGGAACTTCTTCCTGAAGACAAAGGAGCCTCCAGCCAAATGGACCTTGGCAGGAGTTGCCTTGCTGTTAAGCGTGTGAAAAAAAATCGTGTGTTTATTTACCAGTGTGTTTCCAGCGCCACTTAGAAAACGTCTCACTACTGTTTTTGGTGCTTTTCTGGTGTTAAACTGTGATTGGCGCTTAAGTCTTGTGACTTCCTCATTTTAAGAGTGAATTTCTTGGTTTGAAATACAGCAGTCAGTATGTTAGTGTGCTTTTTTTTCACTTTTTCATGTAGTGAAAGAAGTTTTTTTTCCTTTTTGCAGAAGCTTAAATTTTATCAAAACACCACGGTTTTGTTCTAGAAATACAGGCTTTCTATAAAAAAATCATTATCCACCTCCTTCAACCATCTTTTTCAAACCGCTTAAATTATTTTTTTTGCTAATCATGGATTAGCTCCCTCTGTACAAAATGTAAAACATCTTCGTTTGAGGTCTCGAGTTGTTATTACAGCACTACATGTCATGCCAGAACAATTAACAAATATTTTTATATCCATTCGTCGAATGTTAGGCATTCATTGTTTTACGTTTTGATTCCTAAAAAGGAATCGCTTCACTTCATAACACTCCGTTTCTATTTTTTGTCTTCCCACATGTAAAGTATTTATGTGTTCAAATTGTTTGTGAAATAATAAAGTTGTCTGAAAACTTTTTTGTCGAATAATCGCTTTGAATCTAAGTATTGGCTTCTTTTAGATTTGACTACAGGTACGAAGTCGAATACGAGTACGAATTTGGAATGTGGAGGCAATTGCCCACTCCAGAAATACCATAACATGCCATAATGGTCTTTGTTTGTCACCCCAAAATTTTTCGTACGCATTTTTTTCAGTTTCTC